CAATAAAAGACACATGGTGGCGAGTCCTCCCCTGAACCCTCCCACTCTGACCATGCTCATCTCGTGGTCCCGGCCGCTTTCCACAGCCGCTCTGCAGTCCTGTCCTGAGGGTCTTCAGCTGTGCCCTCCTGACTGCCTCCATGCTTGAGTGGGTTCAGAACAGCTCCTCTCCTGGTCACTGTGACTTTGGGAGGGAGCCGGAAGCCACATGGTGCCAGATCCTGAGAATGGTGGATGGGGATGAGGCCCTGTTTGTGTTCAGCAGAAATCACCATGGGCTCTGAGAAGACATCGCCCTGGGTCACTGTCAGTGCTAAGGTTTCCCGAGCTCACCCGGGGACGTCTGCACCAGGTCCCTGTCTACCCAGAGCCGGTGGAGTAGGACCCACCTAGCTACACAGAGGACATCCCGGAGGGGCAGACAGACCCAGAGCCACCGGCTCTCAACCGCAGCGAGGTCAGGCCCAGGGCACAGGGGCACCTCGTGTGTGACTGCAGAGATGTGCCTGTTGGGATGGGAGCCACAGGACACCTCCATGGTCCACTGCCCAGGCTGCCCTGACCGAAGAGATGGCTCCTGACAACGACACAGGAATAATAACGGCACCCAGGCCTGGCACATGGATTTCAACCAAGAGCCTATAAAACCAAGAGCCAAAACAGCCAGGACCATGCACACACGAGTTCAGTGCCTTCCCTGGGCTCTGCCTTTCACAGATGATTGGCCTGTAGTGCATAATAGGAAAAAGGGGCACAATTTCTACTGTTCTGCCAGGTACGATGGTACACACCAGTAAGCCCAGCACTTAGGAGGCTGAGGCAGGAGGATCACCAGTTCTAGGACAGCCTGCACTGTATAGCAACAAAAATAAAATGCTACTCTTCTGGATGACAGAAGGGATTGAGGAGCCAGGGGAGAGACCCAACTTGTGTCAACACCAGGCAGTAAAAACTCTCACCTGGAGGGCTCAAGTTCCCAGGGGGCAACCACCCCTTTTTCCCCTCACTCACAAAGGCCCTCCCACACTGGCAGGGGTGGTACCAGCAAGGCTGGCATCTATCCCCTTCCTCATGTGTCTCCAGGATTCCAAAGTTTCTTTCATTCCCTAAGCTATTAATACATCTGGAAGAAGCTTTGCCTCCTGGCTATTTGTTTATCTGAAAGCTGCTTGTTTCCGGACAGTGGGTACAAGCTGCCTCTGGCAGGGACCCAAGGCCCTGAAGCTCCAGGACCAAGCTCAGTCAGGGGACTGACGAGGTCACCCTGGGCCTCAGGCAGGCCATCAGTACCCTGTCCTGGACACAGTCCTTCCTAGAGCCACCGTCCTCAGAGCCACCTTCTCAGTAGGCCTTGCCCAACCTCCACATCCAGCCTGGGTGAGGTGGCCCAGGCAGGACGAGTGCCCTCTGTCCTGCATGCAGATTCCCACCTAAACCCTTGGCCTTCCTCTTGCAGGAATCCTGCTGTGTCAGCTCAGCAAGGGACCCCTCTGCGACCCCAGGCAGGGCCTCCCAAGCACTTCCTGGGCTCCTGAACCCCCAGGGTGCTGCCCTGGAACTCTCTGCTCTGCCCCATACCCAGAGCCCACGGGGCAGTTCCTCCTGCTCCAGCTGCCCCCAACAGGCATCTGTCGCCTGGGACTGGAACCAGCTGTTTCCCATGGACACTGGTCCTGCTGGGTGCAGTGGCCTGTCATGGCACACTGGGCCTCTGCTACTGATATCCTAAGCCACGTCCTGCTCACAGGGACACAGGGGGGACTTCAACAGGCAGCGCTACAGCAGCCAGATGAAGACTAACAGTGATGATCACAACCAAATCCGAGCTGTCTCCTCAATCCACTCCACAGAGGCCCGTGGACCGCACCCCCCGAATTTCCATCGGACTGACTCACAACTCTACTCTGCACCACTGTGGGGGACACGTCACGCTTCTGCATGCAGCAGACCTTATGAATGCCTGCACTTGAGCCTTCCCTCCCTCTCCCGGGGCCTTCCCACAGGGGATCCTGGCCTGGCCCTGTCCCGAGGGCCACTTCCGGTTGATGTCCTGGGAGGGGAGCAATGATAGAAGCCCACGGGGACTCAGAACCAAGATCCCGCCAAGCTGGAAGCAGGCGCCTTCGCAGTGGTGGCTCAGGAGCGGGGTCACCTGGTCTGTATTTACGTTTCTTTCCACACAGCATAGTCAGATTCTCAAGTGGGCTCTGGGTGACTGGACCTGCAGGGATTCCCACCCGACGTCTGTTTACCTCCCTGCAGGACAACACCCTCCCCACTCCCCACTGGGGCACTGGCTGACCTGCGCTCGCAGGATTTTTACATTATGTATACATTTAGACAAGGTATATGTTGAGCATAAGTTTAAAAGAAGTTTTAGGCAGTTACATAGCTCACATAGAACTGCAGAGGGCAAGGTCACTGGTCACCAAGCCCCAGGGCCGCCCCAACCTGCAGTGCTGGTTGGCAGAAGCATTATTTTCCTCTGTTAGCACCATGGATTCGAATTTAGATGCTGACCTTGCCTTGAACCCTGGAGTAAACCCCACGGGGTTGGCTGTGTGATCTCCTTTATACACTGCAGGCCTCTGTCTGCCCATTTCCCAAGAACGAGCTGTGCATCTGGGTCTCTCTAGGACCCTGGGCCTGACTTCCTCTTGCCTTGGGGCGTCCATCAGGATAGAACCCGAGGCTCACGCAGGCCAGGAGTGAGCTGGTCAGCCCTGGGGGCTCCTCTGCTCTGGCGCCTGCATCTGTTTTCAGTGCCCAGGCAACACCAGCTTCATAAAATGAAGACGCACTCCCTCCCTCCCGTCCCTGGAAGGGACTGCTTGGCGAGCACGTTGATTCCTCCTTAAATACCTAGTAGAATTTTCCAGTGGAAAATTCTCCAGCTGGGCCTGGTGATCTGGGCACCCCTTAATCACAACGCCGGGTCCCCTGAGGGTCCATCCACCCATGCTCACCCCTTGGAGCATTCTCATGCTTGTTCCACACACCTCCAGGATTTCAGCTGTACTTACAGAAGGAACAGGGAAAGGAAGCCTCACCCACGCCCCAGGAAGCCAGACGGCTCCCCAGTAGCATCATCATAACCCCTGTTCGGCCGAGTGCCGCTGGGCTCAGCTCTCTCCTGCTGGCAGGGCTGGGTGGAAGCCACACCTGGGGCGTGCTAGGCCAGGGCTCTGCCTTGAGCCACACTGCAGCCCTTCACAGCCCTCCAAGATGACCCTGCCCACAGTCAGTGTGGACACATGGACAGCAAAGTCTGCACAACATGACCCCTAAGACTGCTTCTCCCCAGCAGCTCTTTCGAATTGATGTCAGATGGCCATGGCTTTTAGGGGCATGTGGGCCTAGGGTCCTGCACGACATCAGAGTGGGCACCACGTCCAGCCCACAGAGGCCACAAGCTGCAGGTCTGAGTGGGGACGAAGGCTCAGGAGGCCACGGGCACTGGAGTTGCAGCTGCAGGAAAATGAGCCCTGGATTCTCTGGCCTGGACTCAGGCTCCGCGCTGTCTTACTGATGTAGCTTCTCCTCTCTAGTGGGCCAACTTCCTCACTGGGGACTGGAGTCAGGTCACATGACTGCAGGGTGAGGGGCAATCATCTCCAAAGAGCAGGGGGAATCCTCCCCCTGCCAGCCCTCTCTGCTACCAGTTTCCCGGGAGCCCAGCGATTCCGCTTGTCTGTGCAGAGTGGCTGGGACCCCAGGCAGAGGTGCAGGTCATGAGACAAAGCTTCTGCCACGTCAGAGCTGCACAGACATGAGGCACTTTCCCCGGGGAACTTTGGAGATGAAAACTGAGAGGACTCGTCCTGTCACTTCTGCAGTCCCGGGGAGGGGACCAGGGCCTTCGCGAGGAGCTGCATGCTCGGCCCTCTCCACGTTTTATGTGGAGACAGGGTCTTGCTATGTCACACAGTTTTCCAGGTTGACCCACAATTTATGATTGATCCTCCTGCCTCAGCCGCCTCTCTGAGAGCTGCCATTTCATAGGATTAATCTCTGTGTCTGTCTTTATATTAAAAGACAAAGCCCTGCTTCTCATAGGGACATAGATGAGCACACGGACCGGACAGTGCTGCTGGCAGAGGGCTGAGTGCCCGGTCCAGATCAGAGCCCCGCGCCCATGGGAGTCACATCAGGGCCTGCAGGGAGCACTGCAGTGGGTGCAGGCAGCACAGCTCCCTCTGGACCCGCAGACATCACAAGCATGCTAAGGACATGTGCGTGGCCGTACAGAGGTGAGGCCCCATGGCTCAGTGGAAATCCACGCTCCTCTACCTCGAGCCTTGATGAGGCCCAGGGGAGCCCTAGCTCCCCATACCTTATCTTAAATTTCAGCCCCACCTACTGGAAGAGGGGTCATCATGGTGCTAAACATCAAGACTAAGAGAAGCATACAGGCCCTGAAGTGAGGGAGGCCCTTCCTCTGCGTGTTCCTGGGCCGTGGGTCACATCCTCAGCCAACAGCTCCTGGACAGGGGCCGGATAGGAACAGAACTGGGTGGAAAGGGCTCTCTCCCAGAAAAGAACCCAACAACCACAGACCAAGCCCCTCAGGTGCCCTCACCCGGACAGAAGGGCAGCCACAGAGGAATCTAAAAGCATAGATGACATCTTCTCTCCACCTACCCGGCCTGGCTTCGTCCAGGCGGAACTGCGAGGGTGTCCCTGGGCTGTGCAGCGGGGACCCAGGAAGGAGAACCAAGCCCTGAATGCAGCAGAGAACTCGCTCTCCATCAGGACTTGCCCTACACTGCCCGCCTGGCACTGATGCCCCCAGTAGACGAAGCGATTCTGCTAAGCTGCCCGAGGCACAGCAGGAAGCCAGAAGCAACTGACTTCTGCCAATGCCAGGGCCTTCACAGCCTCAGTCCGACATCTTCCCCAAGGCCCCCCCAACCCCAGGCTTGGCGTCCACATAACAAGGAGTCTCTGGGGAGCCAGCAGCCGGCACTGCCCAGACCATGCTGCCTCGTGGGCATGCTTACCGCGTGCAGCTCTGCGGACACTGGCTGGGCTGCTCACCGGGGCCTCGGGCGGGCTGAAGCCAGGGTAGTAGGGCGGCGTCTTCACTGGAAAAGAGCGCAACGGGGCTCTGTCACTTCCTTGCACAGTGACAAGCTGCACAGTGTGACATCTTTCCCCTGGCTCCCAAATGGCACTGACCCCAGGGCCATCCCATCCGCTGCAACCAGCCCTGATGTATGCTACTGTATTTCTGGGTACAGGGAGTGGAACTCAGGATCTTATGCTTGCCAGGCAGGCGCTATGCCACAGAGCCATATGCCCAATACCTTTTTTATTTTTTAGTTTGACGCCCAGTCTTGCTCAGTCACACTAAATATCCCAGGCTGGGCTTCAACATGTCATCCTCCTGCCTCAGCCTGCTGGAGTACGTGGGTGACAGGTGTGCTGGCTCAGTTTGACTTCTTTCTTACCGTATGGTGTCTCTGGAGACACAGGAAATGCTGGGGTGGAACACACAGGCTCCTTGCTGTTTAGCATCCTACCATCCATCACAGCCAGGTCTGGGGGGTACGCAGGGATCACTGCCTGCAGTCAGGAGGGGGATGGATGAAGGGAAGTCAGGGAGCGGCCCTCACCCTCCAGCCCAGACAGCAAAGAGCTTTCTGCTGACAGTGGAGGAGGAGGAAGAGGAGGAGAGGAGAGAAAGAGAAGAGAGAGGTAGAAAGAGGAGAAAGGAGGAGGAGGGCGGAGGAGGAACAGAAGGAGGAGGAAGAGGAAGAGGAGGAGGGAAGGCGCCGGATCCAGCTGAGAGCTCCACCCTCCCGCTTACCCAGGTCCTTCCAAAGCCACCCCAGCCCCTGTGGAGGAAGGGACTGCAAGCACCTCTTTGACGTCCCCAGGACAGGAAAAAGGCGCAGTGCTGGGGGCTGAATCCACTCCAGCCTTCGCCCAGACACACTTGGGGAAGGACAGCTGGCCCCCGGCCTCATTGTCGTACTGTCCCAGACTCATCTTCCGGGCTCCTCCGCCCAGGGGCTCGTCGCCAGAGGAGCCTGCGTGGAGAGAGATGTGTGGGCCGCCAGGCATGTGCCACAGCCCTGTGTGGAAACCCCACAGTGAGCAGGGTGGAACAGCAAATGCCTGCAGTTCCACAGACCCGGGAGGCTGAGGCGAGCAGATCGCAAGTCAGAACCTATGCTGGGCAGTTCAGAGACACCTCGGCTCTGAATGAATAATTTTGAAAGGGTGGGGTTCAAACCCTGGTCCCCCACACACACCTATCATGAAGTTTCTCCAGGACACTGCATTTCATCATGGTGGGCACTCTGGGCACAGAAGGGCTGAGTGGAAACCCAGCTCTCAGGCCAGATGTCACGAAGACGGGGCCTGACTCGGAACCCACAGCTCCCTGGTGCAGGGCAGAGCTGGGGTCACAGGACCAGGCTGGGCAGGGTTCTGGGTACCCAGATGCCTACACACCTCCAGTGGCTCCAGACAGGAGTGGCTCTCTGACGGATCAGCATCAGCGGCTGAGGCCAGGGCCACCCCATAGGAATGCACAGCCAGCTGTGACACTGTCCCCCTGCAAGGCTGCACAGGCCGCGCTTCCTGGGCTCAAGCCCTTCTCTCCTCCCCACCATAAGACCCCGCTGTCCTGGCACAGAGGCCTCCTGCTGTGTCCTCAGTAAGGAGCTGGCTCTTGGCAGGGCTCCATGGGGCCGCCCAGAAGTCAGTGCTGGTGCCGAGAGCAGGGCTCCCGTCCCAGGGGATGGCTGCTCAGTGCGGTGCCTGAGTGGCACGCAGACCCAGCCACCTACCCACCTGCCTCTTGTGCCACACAGCAGGGGATCCAGGACCTCATGCTTGCTAGTCAGGCACTCTGCCACAGAGCCACATTCCGCCTGGCCCAAGAACTTTATCTCCATTTTCAAAACTAAGAAACCCTGCCAGGTGTCCCTGGGTGGCACACTCCCCATCGTGCAGCCTGGGCTGTGTCCTCAGGCTCTGTAAACCACTATCTTCCTGTCTCTGCTAACTTTATTTCCTAATGTACAGAGGCGGTGAGGAAGGCCGTGCACGCAGCTAGGTGCCCACAATTGCCTCCCCACTTCCCACGCTTCTCTGATTCTGCGTGGTGTGCCCTGCTGGTTCATCCCAGGCCCAGCGTGTGACTCATCACCTTCCAGAGCCCACTCTGCAGGGGCCATGCCGAGCCTTGCCTGCTCCTAGAAGGCACTGCCTTAGAGAGGATCTCTGGTGGGGAGAATGCAGTGCAGTGAGTTAGGGTTGATACAGGGTGCAGAGTCAGACAGGTGGGGGTCACAAGTCCTGGAGGGGCTCGGTGGCTGGGGTGGCTAAGGTAGCAAAGATATAAAGAACAGCAATCTTAGAGCATCATCACCATCACTCAGCATCACCATCACCATCAGCATCAGCATCGCCACCACCACCACCATCAGCATCACCGTCATCATCACCACACCAAATGCATTAATCAGTTTCCCCTCACTGCAGCAAATACCTGAGATAACCACCATATGAAGAGAAAAGGTTTATTTAGGGTCACAGTGAGAGAAGTCTCAGGCCCTGATCAGTTGGCCCTGTTGTTCTGATCCAGCAACCAAGAGCTTATCTTGGTGGCAGGGTGTGGCAGAGCAAAATCTTCCTATCCTGGTCAAGGGGCAAAAGAGAGAGGAGAAAGAATGGACAAGGGTCCCAACGTGCCTTTGAAGGGCACACTCCTTACATGACCTACGTGATGCCATCCACCAAGACTATACAGACTTCTCTGTACACCCCATCTCTTAAAGTGCCCTACTGGAGAGGACCTTTGGCAAGGGGACACTTGCATCCTAACTGCCGGGAAAGTCACTGTCACAAGTATTCATCACCTTCCTCACTCTCATTAGAATCTCCCCATCATCACCTTCTTACCACCACCATTATCAACATCAACGCCATCCCCACCACTATCAGAATCACCATCGCCATGCCTGTCACCACCCTCAGCGTCAACAGGTCCATTACCCTCAGCGTCAGGACCGTCATCATGTCTGCCTCCATCACACCAGCATTACCACCACATCCACCACCACGGCCCTCCTCATCCAAACTGCCACACCCCGTCACCACAGCTCCACCACCATCACCACTGCAGCCAGCAGCAGCCGCCCAGCAGCCCTGTCTGACTACTTTGCTGGCATGAAACATTCTCAGCAGCGTACAGCCTTTAACTTCTGGGGCAGACCTACGGTCAAATGCTGCTGCTAGCAGAGCGGGTGAGTCAGGTGTGGAGCTCTGCGGCAGACTCAGGTGGGTACGGCCAGGATCTGTCAGTGGGACGGGCTCTTCTGAGCCTCACGGGACCCAGCTCCACAGCCCTCATCTCCCCAGCCAGGCTAACACTGCACTCAGTGTTCTCCCCACATGAGGCCTGTCCCTCCCCAGGGACAGGATGGACGAGGAGCCGGGGACCCAGGAAAGCTTCAACCTACAGGCTTTTCAGGGGCCCACCCTCTGAAGACATTCCAGGGAAGCTGGTTCACCACCACACTACTATAGGTTTCCCTGCCAGTGTCTAGGGAGTTTTGTTTGCAGCTGTTCATCCACCTAGCCTTTTCTAGGTGACACTCAGACACAAACACTGCAATATAAACTTACAATCAAGAGGGTTCTAGCATTCTCTCTACCTGTGGGTCAGGACATTCCTGTAAGATTCCCGTCCCTGCCCAGCTGGAGGGGTCACAAATGTACAGCGTCTTCCAATGGGGTTTGCAGCCATACAAGGGGTCCCAGAGGGAGAGCCAAAGGCCGGTGCACACAGGAGGCTCCCAGCTGAGTCTCAGGACTCAGCCCATCACCCTGCTGGGCATGCATCTAAAACAGGAGGCTCGTCCTGGGGATGGCATGGGTGGACCAAAGACTCAGCTGGCTCTGCCCCATCTCTGATGCTCTGGACTACAGCTGCTTTACAATAGAGTTAACTAGATCACTGCCAGATTTCCAGGTCTCAGAAGACTAACAGCCAGTTTACTCACCTGCTATCTCTCTAAGGCTCCGGGGAAGAAAGGGAAAGAACTGCCCAATGGGCAGAAGTGCCCGTCAAACACAAATGGACAAATGAATACTTAATATCTCCACATCCTATAACCAAATATGCACCCGATTTTGCTAGTTGTTGAATTATGAAAGCTCTTTGCATTCAAAATTGTAATTGTTTTGCAGTAACAACTAAAGTGGTCTAAAATTAAAACCTCAGTTATTAAAGCAATGAGTTCATCCAGCAATTTAAAAATGTGATTGTTAGAGTGGGAAACAGGAGGTGATGTCCTGAAATCCTGGGCTTCCTCCCAGGAACAGGGAATCCCTGTGGACTACATTCAGTCATCTGGAAAAACCACCAGGGCCACGCATGGAAACCTGGTCCTTGGATTCTTTCCCCAGGACACTCAGGTCCTGCAAACCCCTCTGCATCTCAGGAGAGGCTTGAACCCCAGAGAAGGCATTTCTGATTTTAGTTTTTCCAAGCAATTTAACAAGTTCAGTCGAGGTAAGCCAGGCTAACACTGCACTCAGTGTTCTCCCCACATGAGGCCTTTACTTAAACCCAGAATTTCCCAAGTACACTGGAATAAATGAGCTCATAAAAGTTCTGACTGTACTGAATGCCTCCTTGTGGCTACTCTGGTGGTCACTGTGCTTGTTACATGGCTGGAATACAGCCTGAGAACCAACTCTGGGGAGACACCACCAGCTGCTTCCCTCTCCCAGGCATCTGATACGCCCAGCCTGCAGTGGGAGCAGGGAGCAGGTTAAGGTGACCAACTCCTATGCGGGGAACGGTGGAGCACACTGCTGGCTGTTATGGCAGGTTATGGAGAGGTGGCCTTAGGGTCTACATCTGGTCCCTCTCCCCTTTTTCTCTGACCCTGTCCCCTGCCCTGCTTCCTGGCTGCCATGAACTATGCGGGGAACGGTGGAACACACTGCTGGCTGTTATGGCAGGTTATGGAGAGGTGGCCTTAGGGTCTACATCTGGTCCCTCTCCCCTTTTTCTCTGACCCTGTCCCCTGCCCTGCTTCCTGGCTGCCATGAACTAAGCATCTTTGCCCCACCACACCCTTCCACCATGCTGCTCCTGCCTTGGAGCAGCTGACCATGGACTGAATTCCCTGAAGCCAAAAGCCATGCTAAACTTTAAACTGTGAGTGTCAGCTATTGTGTCCAGCAATGGGAATGTTGCCTGACACCTCAGGGAAGGTGAAATGACCTGCAGTCCAGCAAGGATGACCCCGTACCCAAGAGGTGCCTCGGTGTGCCATCTCCTCACGCTCTCCATCACCAGTCACCAACACAAATCTTCTTTCTCACACATGGTGTGAGCAGAAATTTACAGAACACGGTCCTTTAACCTTTTTTTTTTTTTTGTCTTTTTCCTTTTTATCGGTACCAGGGATCGAACTCACAACTGCCTGCTTGCAAGGCAGGCGCTTATGCGGCTGAGCTAAACCTCCAGCCCGTTCCTTTAACCTTGCTTGGTCCCTGGGGCTCTCTGCCTGCCGAGTCCCCTCCTAGCCCTAGATGACCAGTGCCAGCTCTCCCGGCCCTTTGGCATTTGTGCTTGCTGACTCCAGGAAGCTTACAACAGTGACCTGATCCCAGCACGGTTTGAGACGCCTCCGCTCCAGCCCGGCCTCCATGCAGCCAGCCAACCCCTCCTGCAGGGGTGCACACAGGCCGCCCTCACACCCGGCCATCATCCATGCAGTGCTTGGCTGGCAACCTTCCTTCTCCAACCTAAGATTCTCCTGCCTCAGCCTCCTAAAGAGCAAGGACTACCAGCATGCACCACCTTCTCATCACAGGTCAGTACCCCGCGGACGCCAGCTCACCTGTATGCCTGGCTGGGCTCCTGTTGGGGCTGTCCAGGGGGTTGGGCAGTCTGCTGCTGGTTCGAAGCCCACCTCTTGTGCTGTGCCTGCTGCCGACCCGAAGCCCACCTCCAGCACTGTCAGAACCCATGGAGCCGTTGGCTGGGCCCCCCAGAGAGTTCATGTGGGTGGGGATGGGCTCGAAGGTGGGGTCCAGCTCCAGAATCAGCCTGTTGAGCTGCTCGATGGACTGGTCGATGTCCAGGGTGGGGGAGCCAGGGACAGGGCCTGCACTGGGCTCCATGCCTGCCCCGTTCACCAGCTTCTCATCTGGGAACCTGGGCTGGAAGGCTCTGCCAGGGCAGGGCTGCTGGGCATCAGGGGCATCCGCTCCATGGCCAATGCCCCTCTGCACTGCCACTCTGCTGCTGGGTCCTCGGGAGGGGGTGACTGGAAGCCGGGGCTGGGCCTGCACAAGGCCAGCACCATCGGTGGGGCCATGACCGCCCAGTCTGGCGTCCCCATCGGGGGCAAAGCCATACTGGTGGGCTGCCACCATCTGTTGCTGGCGCACCCAGTTCTGGGTCGGGTAGCCACTCTGCCCATAGGCTGGTGTGGGCACAGGCGCCGACGGCGTCCTCAGGCCCGGCTGTGGCTGCCTGGCCTCCCGGCCACCGCCGAACGTCTGCTCCCGCTCATAGAGGCCCAGGTTGGGCACATCCTCTGAGGGGCAGCCGAAGCCGTCGGACAGCAGGGAGTGCTGGCTGCTCTGGCGGCAGGTGAAGGGGCCCATGGGCGCTGACGGCGGCCCCTCCGACGAGGACAGCGTGCCCAGGCTGCCCATGCTGTGCAGGTCCGGGGGTGGCACCTCATCGTCTAGGATGTCTGTCTCGCGGTCCTTGGGGGCTGCGTCCCCGTTAACGTGGACCTGCACAGGCACCACGTGGCGCGTGCCCCCGAACTTGCTGTGTGCGTCTGCCATGTCCTTGAAGCCACTGCCTGTGTCCTCCAGGCCAAAGCCACTGAGCAGCTGGTCCAACTCCGCCTTCTCCTGTGGGCTCAAGCCCCTGGGATGCCCCGCGGCCAGCCGCTCCTCTGTCTTATCTGTCCTGGCCGAGGCGGTGGAGTGGCCCGAGTCACTGCTGACTGACAGGGTGTGGTCACTGTGGTCCGGGCTGCCAGTGGCCGGCAGAGACTGGGGACTGCAGGGGTCGGACGAGCTCTTCTTCCTCACCTTGGCGTAGAGGCTGCCGTCTACCGGCCCTTGCGTGTGCAGCACTGTGGGAAGACAGGAGACCGACGCGGTGAGATGAGGATGAAGGCGGCACCTCCTATCACGTGGGCCCACTCAGCTACAGCACACTCACAGAGCAACTCCCACTGCAGAGCTGCGGCCCTCTCTCACGTCTGCTGCCGGGCCCAGGGAACAGGGATGGGGCACCATCACGCACACCGAAAGTCCCAGCACTGGGGAGGGGAGGCTGAAGCAGGAGAGTCAGGGCAAGTTTGAGGCCAGCCTGACTGCACAGGCAAATGGTCTCAAAAATCCAAGCAGGGATGAAGACTGCAGGGTCCCAGAGCTGTGGTGAAAAGGAGGTCAAAGAACTCGTAGCAGGGGCCAGAGGCATTTCTGGTTTCTACGCAAAACCAGTTCCTCTGCCTTGGGCTGCCTGGCCTGGGGGCTTGAGCTCAGGGCAGCGGGTGCCTGGTCGGGGGAGCTCCCCAAGCCTGTAGTGGCTGAGGCAAAGGACCTCTGTTCCCATGTCTGACCTCAGCTGAGGGCCAGCCGTGTGTGGGGCTGCAGTGTTATTAAAACGACTAAGTGGTGCTTCTGGGCCCCTTCCTAACTGGCTTCGAGCACGAAGGACAAAGAGCACCCAGCAACTGCTCTGGCCAGAAGCCCAGCGAGGCTGCAGGCCAGTGCTGCTGCAAGTCCTGGCTTGTGCGTTGAGCACCAATCAAGTGACCGCCTGCAGGACAGGATTTCTGCACCGAGCACTAAATCTGCCAAGTTTCAAAGCAGTCAACTCCCACTGCAGAGCTGCTGCCCTCTCTCACGTCTGCTCAAACCTCAGGGCACCTTGGTGGGGAGAAGGGACCTGGGCTTCCTGCTGAGCAGGGCATCTCTAGCCACTCAGCTCTCAGGGCCCAGAGGAAGAGGTGAAAAGGGAAATCAGGCCTGCGATGTGGGCAGGAGGAACAGAATCCTTCATTGGGGTTGTTAATTTGTTTTTCGTTTGTTTTGTAGTCAGGATATTTTCGAGTAGTTCATGGTGGCCTTGAACCCACTCTGTACCCCAGGAGGGCCTTGAACTAACTCCTGATGGTCCTCCTGCCTCAGCTTCCTGAGTGCTGGGATTAGAGGCATGTAGCACCGTGCCTCAACTGCCATTCTTATGAATTAGGCCCTGGTGGCGGCATTCGGAGTCCGGAGCCACCATCTGCACGCTGGCAGCCCTGAGTCACTGGGCCACCCATTAGGCATCTCAGAGAGAGACTCCGGAGAAAGCCGGGTGTTAAGGGCCACCAAAGGTCCGTGTGGTCCACCCCCAGGGAAGTGGGGTGAAAGGCAGCAGCCATGGGAGGGTACATCTTTCTGCTCAGTGAGAATTACCCGGACCTTGGCAAGCAGGACAGGCTGATAACTACTGCACGGACCCCAGCACCAGGGCCACTCCCAAAGCACAGACCACTGGTCCCCCCAGCCGCAGGCACGAGCCCACTCGGAACAGGAACCTACTGCATGCTGCCTCTTACCAAGGCCACACATGTGTGACCCACACCGCGTCATAACTATTACTTTGCCCTAAGTTAATCGCACAATGGCTTACAAAAAAAAAGAACTCAAGACTGAGCTGTGAACATGTGAACACACACTGCTGATTTAAAGTGGGATACAGCCAAAAAACTAGCTGCCTGTCATCCCAAAGTCCTTGGTCATCCCCTGCTAAGAACAGCACCTCAAGCCGGGACATAGCTCAGCTGCACAGCACCTGTCTGGTAAGCGTGAGGTCCGGAGTTCAATTCCCAATACCAAAAAGAAAACAGCACCTTGAGAATGAAGGCACTGGAGACAGGAAATGGCAGGAGGGCCCCTTGGCTGGGAGAACGTAGGCCATCCTGTTGCTATTTTTTTGTGGGGGACTAAGGATTGAACCCAGGCCCTTTGCACTGACCTTCAGCTCTACCCATTCTTTCCTTCTTACCTTGAGACAGGGTCTCAGTAAGTTGCCCAGCCTAGTTGGAACTTGGGATCCTCCTACCTCAACCTCCCGATATCTGGAACTTACAGGTTGATACCACCATGCCCTATGGGGTGTTTGTTTGTTTGTTTGTTTTGAGACAGATGTTTCTATGTAGTTCAGGTTGGCCTTGAGCTCATTTTGTAGCACAGGCTAGTCTTGACCTCACAATGATCCTCCTGCCTCAGCCTCCTGAGTGCTGGGATTACAGGTGTGAGCCACCACACGGGGCATACCTAGGGAGTTTTTAATTTACTTTTTTCTCTTTTTATTTTTGAGATAGGTTCTCGCTATGCAGTTTAGGTTGGCCTTGAGCTCACTTTGTAGCCCAGGCTGGCCTCAAACTCACAAGGATTCTCCTGTCTCAGCCTCCAGAGTGCTAGCATTATAGGCGTGTTTTTCATTAGCAGCAGAAATATCGAAATGCCAATGGGTGCACCACAAACACCAGCATCCCTCTGTGCTGGCCATGTGCAGCTCCAGGCCCAGCCGGGATCTGAGCATGGCATGCGGGGTCTCAGGAGCCCCGGCAGCCCAGGTGGCCTTATGCCTGCGTGCTCACTGCAAGCTCAGCTGCCGGACACAGAGGCCACCCTGCCATGTCCAGGGCCCAGGACCTGGTGAGCTCTCCTGACCTGTCTGCCACACCCTGACAGTCTCCGCCTCAGGAAAGGCCCATGAATTCTGACTGCTGGGAAGCACTGTGTGAAGCTCCCCAAGCAGACATGCAGGGGCAAAGACCAAGGCTGGAGGAGGCCCAGGGGACAGAGGAAGGGAACCACTCAGCTCGCAGGCCCCTCAGCAGGGCGCCCAGAGCCCTGTGACAGGCTTGCGCCATGGTGGACAAGGTCATGGTCAGCCACAGTCCCCTCCCCACCCTTCGCTGTCCCAGGCCTTCACTTTTGTCACTCTCCGCTTCCAGACCTCAGCCCCACCCCCTGGCCACCTCTCCTGGCTTCGTTTTTACCCACAATGCACACCGATCATCCAGGGGCTCTCCTGCTTCCTGGGTGTCACTGTGCCAGGGTTGCCTGTGAACTCCTGGCACTCAGTGGCCATCAACTGAGTCACCAAGCGACAAGGTGCCACGGCTTGATCTCACGTGACAAAACCTCAGAGCTGTGCTGTTTGACAGGAGCTCAGCGCCTTGGCAGGCAAAGAAAAAAACCCAGCAAACAACCCAAAACAAACAGCCGGAGGGACAGCAGGAGGACTGAGGCTCGAAAACAGAGGCGCCTGGGTCTCCACATACCGCAGCCAATCTCGGTCTTCCCAGCAGCACAGCAGGCTGGCTGTGCACACGGGCAGGGTGGGCACGGCCGTCCCTGCTCACCTGGCTGCACTCCAGGTGGCGAACCGGAGTGGAAAAGTACCTGCAGTCGCCCGGTTCCTTACTGTGAACAACTGCAGGGACACAGAGGTCATCGTGACCCGAGATGAGTGTACGGCAGCCGGGAGACAGAAAACGGACCAGAGAGCACCGGGCGCACGGCAGGGCCCCACCCGCGGGCCCATGACAACTCCAACAGCACCGCCTCTGCGCCTCCAGTCACCTGTGCAAGTCAGGCCACGTGTGTCGCCAGGCCACGTGCGTCTCATCATGTGCCAGCCTGAGTGGCCACACTGCTTTTCATGGGATCAGAACCTTCCCCTATGGAGCCCCCGGGACCCCTTCCTATGTGCTACCAATGCCCCGGCCATCAGGAGCAGGGGCTTCCCCGGCCATGGTAGCTCCTGAGCTGTCTGTCGGGGTTGCAGGTAACCTCCTATGCCAGCGCCTGATTAGAAATCAAACATCTGTCCAGCAGGGGCTGAGGGTTCTGGCCCCAAACCACCAGTGAGAGCCAGGGTCTGCAGCAAAAGAGCAGGGAAGGAGTGCGGCCTGGGGTCCCCCTCACCTCGCCTCACGACCCAGCCACCCCAGAGTGAGGGCAAGTGGCAGGCACGGGAACCGTCCACTCCACTGTGTGCTGTGTGCCAAGCTAACGGATCCCAGGTTCCACCATTGGGACAGATTTGCATAAAAGGCAGCTTTTCATTTCTGCAGGGCACACGGCATCCACCTGGTGCCTGCCCATGCTCACAGCCTGCCCCTTCTGCCCGCAGGCCTCAGGCAGACAGGTGAAAAGCCCAGCCATGCCCATGTGCCAAATGGAAGGGGCCGGATACAGTCCCTGCTGCTCTCCAGATCCAAGGCCGGGGTTGGCAGCGCAGTCCGCAGAGCACAGATGGGGGCAAGCAGGTGGCCATCACCAGGGGCCCACACACATTCAGATACCAGTGTCGCCCAAGTCCCCATGTTGCCTGTGCCGTGAGTGGTGACCCCTAGGTCTCTCCCGAACCCCAAGGAATCTGCAGAGCAGAGAGTGGAAAGCCCATTTCACATATGAGAAAACAGAGGCCCGTGCAGCTAGGCTAACACTTAAGATTTTTAAAAGGCTCTTGAACAAAGCATCAGGGAGCCCAGCCCAACTGTACCCACCTCTGAAGCCCATGTCTCCGCTCACTCTGACCCCAGCCAAACACTCCTAGCTGAAACTAGTTATTTATTCACCTGGACATTCTTGTCAGCTTCCACAGATAGGAAACCTAAAGCAGCCAGGCAGAGCGGTGATCCCAGAGCTCAGCAAGGCTGAGGCAGGAGAATGCTAAGTTCAAGACCAGCAGAGAAACTTATGGACTTAGAACGTCCCTGTCTCAAATTAAAAACTAAAAAGGGCTGGGGTGCCTCCCATTGCAGTGGCTCTGAGTTCACCCCCAACACCATGAAAAACAAACCCAGAAACCCTAAGGCAGGCTGCACACCTGCATGCGTGTGTATGCAAACACACTCATACTCACACACACAAGAGTCCCAGGAAGCACTAAGCACTTCTTCCCTGACTGGAAACGGTTCCGAATCTCAGGCCAGAGCCCAAAGCTTCTACCAGGCTGTGCTCATGGCTTCACGCTTGGCGTCCGAAGCTGACATAGGGGACCTCAGTCCCCAGGATCAGTGGGCTCAGCCCCACCACGGGAGGCCTCCGCCCAGGCCTG